TCGTTGTCTGGGGGCGCAGTCGAATGGGGGGGAGGGTCTGGGGCCCCGGGCAGGGCCCCCTTTTTTGAGGTCGCCACGGACGCGCCGGGCCCCCGTGTGCGTGGCTCCGTAGGGGCGGGTGGCTCCCACGGAGGCTCACAGCGAGCTCGGAGAAAAGGCAACCGGGTTCCCCGACGCGGCGACGGCAGAGGCCGGTCCCGGACCGCGCCACCGTCGCCCGGTTCGTCCTCCCACTTCAGACCCCGGCGCTCCCCCCGCTAGGACTGCCCGCCTCCGCCGGCCGGAAAGACACCTACCCCACCGGCACGCCGGGTGCTGGCAGCACGGAGAGCCAGAGCCCACCGCCAGCCACGCCCCGCACGTGAGCGGGGAGAGGGCCTCCTCGACCCGAGCCCTCCCTTTCCGATTGATTGCAAAACGACCCTCAGACAGGCGTGGCCCCGGGAGGGACCCGGGGCCGCAATGCGCGTTCGAAGTGTCGATGATCAATGTGTCCTGCAATTCACATTAGTTCTCGCAGCTAGCTGTGTTCTTCATCGACGCACGAGCCGAGTGATCCACCGCTAAGAGTTGTCAGGTTTCATGGTTCGGTGTGGACAAGTTCGGAGACGGGAGGGTTGACACGCCTGACGGCGAGGAACCGGCGGGGGTTAGGGTTAGTTTGTGGTTGTGTTCTAGAGGTGTCCCTGTGTCAACCAGATCTGCTGGAAGTAATTGGAAACAGAGAGTTTTCCAGCAATGGGCACGGCAACTTAGGTTAAAAAAAGTCAAAAAGTGCTTTTTTAATTGTGTTTTATTTTGAAATGACACATCAGATGTTGCTGCCAGTTTGTGGTTGTGTTCTAGAGGTGTCCCTCTGTCAACCAGATGTGCTGGAAGTCATTGGAAACAGAGAGTTTTCCAGCAATGGGCATGGCAACTTAGGGTAAAAAAGTCAAAAAGGTGCTTTTTTAATTGTGTTTTATTTTGAAATGACACATCAGATGTTGCTGTCAGTTTGTGGTTGTGTTCTAGAGGTGTCCCTCTGTCAACCAGATGTGCTGGAAGTCATTGGAAACAGAGAGTTTTCCAGCAATGGGCATGGCAACTTAGGTTAAAAAAAGTCAAAAAGTGCTTTTTTAATTGCGTTTTATTTTGAAATGACACATCAGATGTTGCTGTCAGTTTGTGGTTGTGTTCTAGAGGTGTCCCTCTGTCAACCAGATGTGCTGGAAGTCATTGGAAACAGAGAGTTTTCCAGCAATGGGCATGGCAACTTAGGGTAAAAAAGTCAAAAAGGTGCTTTTTTAATTTTGTTTTATTTTGAAATGACACATCAGATGTTGCTGTCAGTTTGTGGTTGTGTTCTAGAGGTGTCCCTCTGTCAACCAGATGTGCTGGAAGTCATTGGAAACAGAGAGTTTTCCAGCAATGGGCATGGCAACTTAGGTTAAAAAAGTCAAAAAGTGCTTTTTTAATTGCGTTTTATTTTGAAATGACACATCAGATGTTGCTGTCAGTTTGTGGTTGTGTTCTAGAGGTGTCCCTCTGTCAACCAGATGTGCTGGAAGTCATTGGAAACAGAGAGTTTTCCAGCAATGGGCATGGCAACTTAGGTTAAAAAAAGTCAAAAAGTGCTTTTTTAATTGTGTTTTATTTTGAAATGTCTTTCAGCATAAATACAAAGTCTAAAACTCGAAGCCGTTGTAAATCTATTTCCAGTAGATTAAACATGGACCGGATGCGCGCTTTTATTGTGAAAGCAGCATGTAAATGGCGGTACCATAATGTCTTGAGCTATCGCGCATGTGAAAATCGAGAGCGGGCTGTTATTTTCGAAGAGGGGCTACCTTTACCGCAGTTTGTTCCAGCCTGTGCATTTAATTGTATTTTTCAATAGCAGGAGTTGTGATATTTCTTCTTGTATTGAAATATTTGTTATTGACTTGTTATTTGAGATTGTTATTGTTTTCTTATATATTCAATAAAAAAAAAAAAAAAAAAAAAACTTCGCAGCAGAGCTAATGCGCCGCACCGTTTGCGTTAGGACGTCAAGGCGTCAACGGTTGTCACGTCTTACGTCATCTGAGTGAGTGTTTTGAAAGGGATGGTTTGCTATGGAGCTACCATGAAGCTACAGGGATTATAGCGGAAACCAAAGCAAGATAGGTGTGTATTTGTGTAGTATGTGTTTTCATTTTAGAATATCAAATCACATATTTGGGTATTTTTATATAAATGTGCTTTTGATAGTCTTATCGAAGAACAGTGGATTAAAACTATTGTAACGTACGGCTAACAAAGCAAGCTAATGTTAGCATGCTAAGTATTTAGCACAACCGTAGGCTGAGTCAGCCAAAGAAACGTTCTTTTCTACAGTTTATTCCCAGATTGTTTCCTTTAAGCATATATTGAAACAGAGTTTCGTTTTTAGACAACAACTATTCGTTTAAACGTAATTCTGTAATGTAGTTGAGGGTTTTCTAGCAGCTGTCACTGACAGGGGGAGTGAACTGACTTGTTGAATTTTACCCATTACGGCTGTAGAGATAATGAACGGTGAAAGATCCAGACCAGACTCTCCCCTGTTCGGGTGATGGCAACACGTCTGCAGTCATATGACAGTAACTCTAGTGACACGGAAAACTGGGAACGCTTAGACGAACCAACCTCGCAAACTCTGCAAACATTCGAGGTGAGCCCTGTTGGAAAAACTTAAAAGATATTTTCTAAAACTGTAAAATGAGTTAGAAGCAGGTTAACTCGAAAATATGGGAAAGCCACACATCTGTCCAGTTATTCTGTGGATCAAGATAAATGTGAATATATCTTGTATTTATCAGATGACAAGGAACATTTTTGTAATTTATTTTTTGTCTCATTTCAAGTAGATGTAAATTTTCTAGAATATCAATCATCTTTCAATATGATCAAACTTTGCTTGGTTCTGTAGAGGGTATAATCTACTAAAATGATTTCCTTCATCTAAGTTTTGGGCAGAGATACCTTATTATTAGGTGTTTACGATAATGGGTTGTGGTATAGAAAGCAGAGAAAATTGCAAATAATCAAACACGTGTTCTAAATCTAAATCAGAGATTTTTGTGTTAGTATTGGGTAACAAATTTGGGATTTGCCACTTTGTTAATTGAAATAATGCAAAGTCATTCCTTTGTGCAACAACATATTGCTCAACTTAAAGGAATAAAGTACCAGCTTTTCAACTTTAATTTGTTTAAATGTTCTTTTTTCTCATTACCTTGTGCTTGTTTACTTTGTCATCTCGATTAAGTTTTAAGCCTGAGATGTGTTTGATTGTAGGACAATAGGGTATATCATTATAAGGGTTTTACTTGTCTCACTTCTGTGGTTTAACCCATGTATGGTTCACTATCACTGTGCATACTCAGTGCATAATTTTTTTTTTGTGTTTTTTTTTTGTTTTGTTTTGTTTTGTTTACATTGAGACTTGTTTAGCATTTGTTTTAATTGTGTTTTTTCGTGTGAATGGAGGAGAATAAAGCAATATCAACTCCAAGAATCTGCCTCAAAATCCAACACATATCAGAGATCGGTTGGACTAATGTCAAAATGAGTATTGGCATGGACCTTAATAAGAAACTGTACCGGTTGATCTCTTTTTCTCTTTAATTCTTTTTACCATAACCATTTTTAATAGGCTTCATTTGTTGATCCCTCATGGGTTAAAAAAAAAAACTCAATCTTAGGGAGAGGAAGTAAAATGTGTTCTGGGAAAAGTACTGGATAGCCTTTGGGTATTTCTTTAGTCTCTCTGTAATTTGAACATTCAGAATGTGGTCGGTCCAGTTGTTTGGGTGCTTTCCTATATTCTACCTGAGGGCTCTTGTGAAAGCCTGTCTGTGAAAGCATACATTGCTGGTTTTAAAATAACATTTACAACTACTTAAAATTAGACATATTTAAACTCTGGTGCTTCTATATTTTAAATTAATGGCTATAGTGGGAAGTAGGTAATTTTGTCCTTTTTCCCTGAAACACTTCTTTTCTTAGATTGTTCTGTTCTGGACATGTACAGGTACAGTATGCAAGAGCCAAGTCAAAGCTTAAAATCGCCTCCCTCACCAAGAAGGCACAGCAGAAAATGTACTTCCGGCAGCAGCTCAAGAATTTGCGTTTGCAAATACAATGATGGTGCAGTTGTACTCTGCAATCATTTAGTTCATCCTCTCCTCAATCCCCCATATGGTACGCCGCTGCCACATCCACAGACAAGGACATGTGGCATATAATATAATTTATAAATAATTCGCTCTGCGGAGAAAGTCATTGGGTGCAGTCTTTCTTTTAAAGAACTGCATGCCTCAATGACTCAAAAGTAAGCTGGATAAATTGTAGCTGATCCATCCCAACAGACTGTTTCAGAGTCTCCTCTCTGGCAGGACGCTGCAGTCATTCAAGACCATAACCTTTTACCACAATAACAGCTTCTTACAGCTGCATTTAGCTTCATTAACAAGCACTGGGTCCCCCTTTGACACTGTCTTGCTGCAAATAATACAAATACCCTGGCATGTGTAAATATTATACAGTTTAGGTTCATATTGTTGTTATTGTATATTCTTAAGATCTACCATGGGCTCTAGATCTGCAAAAACCTGCACTATTTCTCCTTTTTTCATAACATTCCTATAGAAGTTGTATTTGTATATTCCATACTCTGTTTCCAAATATGTTTAAATAAGATACATTCCTGTCTATGTGTAATACCTTGCCATCGAGCAAATTCTTCCTTGTAAAACACTGCTGGCAATAGGTCTCATTCTGTTGAGATGGCTTTTTTAGGTTGATAAAGTGAGACAAAAGAAAATGCTTTGAGCCGACATGGCAAGGTGTTCATTACCTTTGACCATTGTTACAATCTTAGTAGAGGTGTCTTTTGGCCTTTGAAAAGAAAATAATGAAATCTGTATTTTTTTTTAAAGCAGCAGTCAGACCACAGCTTCTCGAGTGGAGGCAGAACAGAGGAAGATGAGCCTTCATGGTGCCAGTGGGGGTTGCGACCGCTCACGTGACCGCCGTCGTTCCAGTGATCGTTCTAGGGACTCCTCACATGAGAGGGAAGGGCAACTAACCCCCTGCATTCGGAACCTCACCTCACCCACACGGCAACACAACAGTGGTGAGTAGGCATGGAGAGTGAAATTAATGTCTGTGGGATGGTCATGAATAGGTTCTCCAGCTTCTTTCAGTTACTGGATTTCAACAGTTGACATTTTGCTTGGTGTTTTATAACATTTATGTTAAATATACAGACTAGCAAATATTGGCAATTTTATTTTTTATTAACCTGTTTAAAGCCAGATTCTTACAGTATAGTATATCCAACATGCAAAAATTTGTTCTGACTTTGTCAATGCTCTAATTGTCTAGATCGTGAGAGAGATGGTCCTTCTTCGAGGCCAAGTAGTCCAAGGCCTCAGAGAGTCTCACCCAGTGGTTCCAGCAGCAGCGGAGTTGTGAGCAGTCGCAACAGTAGCTTGTCCAGCTCTGACGGAACCTTCAAAAGTTTGGGAGCAGGAGAAATGGTTTTTGTCTATGACAATCCTAAGGAGGGGGGAGCGAACCCCCCCATTGGAAACCGAAACACAAGAACCTCAGAGAGAGTCACTCTGATTGTCGACAACACGCGCTTTGTAGTAGATCCTTCTGTCTTCACTGCACAACCCAACACAATGTTGGGCAGGTACAAAACACTTTAATTCTTATTGTTGCATTTCTATTAAACTGACCCAATGATCTAAAATTGAGTGCTTATTTTTTAAGCTTTTTTTGCGTATGTTGTTTTTTATTTTATTTCAAAATCTGACGTTCTTTGTTTCAGGATGTTTGGGTCTGGACGGGACCATAATTTTACAAGACCCAATGAAAAGGGCGAGTATGAGGTGGCTGAGGGCATCAGCTCAACAGTTTTCCGAGCAATTCTGGTCAGTTGCCACCCAATGTTTTCTACTTTTTAGTTTGAAATATTTTTGGCTAAACCAGAGCATAATGCAGCATAGAATTAAAATTGTTCTGAAGCCAAAACCAAGTCCGCTTTAAGATAACATTACTATTTTCATAATAACAGTGGTATAACGGGGCTGTTTAATTGTAACAGCTTTACCAGTTTATGAGTGACTAAAATAACTAGTGTGTGTTGGTGTTAGGAACATGCAGTGATCTCAGGAATGAATCTGAGAGAGAAAGCTTAAAGGTGTAAACAAAAAGCTTTCCTTTTACAACAGCTAAACAGAGGGCAGAAAGGGTGTGATTCAATTTTTCTAAAAGGATACATGTGTTTCTTATTAGATTTTCATGGTTTCATAAGATCTCATCACAGTTTAGAAGTCATGATTTTATCAAATATTTTCAAGTATAAGGCCCTTAAGTACAAAAATTAATGCTGTTAAAGCCAAACACCCAGTTATTTTTACTCCATCCCACCTTTCTGGAGCCTGATCCTGGCTGGAGAGCAGTGGAGATAAAAGGAAAAAGGCAGCATAACTCTGCTTTTAGCTCTAGCCATGGCATCAAATTAAGTTATATAATTTTGTCACACACTTCATTGATGATTAACGTTCTATTCCCTGTAACTGAATGTTGCCTTCTAAGAAGCCACCTGGTTTCAGTTCAAAGTTTGTAACTTGTTCTCTCAGGTGTAAAATACACAACCAAAGACAGATGCTGTTTCCACGTTAATCTTTAAATTGCCATAATTTAAGCTGTTGATTTGTTTTCTGAGGTAACGGCTCCACGGTGTTTGAAATTGCTGTCTTCTTTTTTATTTCTATCTAATTGACAGGATTACTACAAATCTGGGATAATCCGTTGTCCAGATGGAATCTCCATCCCTGAGTTGCGGGAGGCGTGTGACTATCTATGCATCTCCTTCGACTATAGTACCATCAAATGCAGAGACCTCAGTGAGTCATCGCCCCAATGTTGAAGTTTTTACAGTGGCACATTAAGGAATGCAGCTTTAGAACAGCAGTGTAGCTAAAAGTCTTAAATCTTATCAACTGAATAGTTCTCTTGGGACGAATTATTTAGAGATAGACTTACTTTGGGAGAAAATAATTTTCAGAAAATAGATAATGACTTTTTTTGGTTTGGCTAGGTCAGCCAGGAGAAGGTCAGCTAAAGCTCTGCTGCCTTCATTGTGGCTGATGGTGCCCTTTGTTCATTTCTTTTAAACTGCAGATTCATGCTTTTGACAGCTGCTGCAGGACTGCACTGGGAAAAGGCTGCTTGTCCTGTTGGCACGTTTTTGGTAGCATTAGATTTATTGTAGTCTCTTCAAACAACTTATTGGTACCGATTTGGCTCTTATAACACAACTAGTGTATCAATTTTTATACTTTCATTTATCCTCCAGGTCAAGGTGAAAAACAGGCATATCTAACTGAAATGATCAAAGCAAGTTTAAAGTTGAAATATTTTATTTCTAGTATTTTGAGATTTCTTTTATCTCTATGTAAAATAATTTAAAGGGGTCATAGAATGCAAAACCGAGTTTACATTGTGATAGATGAATAACAATAGTTCAGTGGGTGAAATGGACGTACAGGGAAGTTCAAACCCCACCGACACCTCCTTTCTGTGCAAATCTCATTATTCTAATTTTCCACCATAATACGGGTGAATCCAAACGAAGCCCCGGAGCAGACGGCTCGGTTCAAATGCCCGGTGTGTTTCGAGTACATGCTGCATTGTAGTCGACCGAAATCCCAGACGATTTTGAAATCCCCCCCGCACATTTTTTTAGGTATGAAAAGTAGGACAAGAGGACGTCTGGTCACCCTACCATATCAACAATTTGATGTTTTAGTGAGTGCATGCTTGTCGCTATGATGCGTCTTTGCTCGGCAGCTTCGCTCATTGTAAACTAACCAATCAGCGCACAGCCATTAATGTAGGACTGAAAAAAACTGTTAAAATAATAAACCAATTTGTTTTATTGCTTTTTTTTTGACAGATGATCATTTTTATTATGGCCACAAACAACTTTAATATATCATAATCAGTATAAATAAATCTTGAAAATATTTATTTATTGCTTTTTCTAAGCTTTAGCCTCCATAAATTCTTTCTAAGAAAGCAGGCTGCGTATGACCTCAAAGCCCTTATTAATGATCAATCTTTGTGTGGATTTACTGCTTAAGTATGAGAAAGACGGTCATAATAATTTTAATTCCATCCTTCCTTTCCAGGTGCCCTGATGCATGAGCTCTCCAATGATGGGGCTCGACATCAGTTTGAATTTTACCTCGAAGAAATGGTTCTGCCTTTAATGGTGGCCAGTGCTCAGAGTGGAGAGAGGGAATGTCACATTGTAGTTCTTACAGATGATGATGTGGTGGACTGGGATGTTGAGTATCCGCCACAAATGGGCGAGGAGTATTCACAGAGTAAGTCTTAGTAAGACTTTACGTCTTATATACAAAACTGATGTGTTGAAAAAGCTTTCAATAACATATTTGTTCTTTTTGCAGTTATTTACAGCACAAAACTTTACAGATTCTTCAAGTATATCGAGAACCGAGACGTTGCCAAATCTGTTTTAAAGGAGAGGGGGCTAAAGAAAATAAGGCTGGGTATTGAAGGTGCGCTGAACTCTCCAGGGAGAGATTTTTTTTTAAATTTACAAGTAAAGTGAGGTTTTGAGAAATGTTGACCTTAGTTTAAGAGATTGACTTGATAATTATTAGAAACCACACTGAACGTTTTTCTTGTAACAATTATTTGTTTCATAACCAAAATAATTGTCAGAATTTGGAGCAAACCTTTGTCATCATCTTTTGTGCCACCTCATCAGTGTGTCCCACTGCTCTTAGGCTGTGATCCCAGGGTTTCATAAAATGTTAGTAGGTTAAGATTAAGGAAAAAGTTTACAATCAGCAGAGGGCAGCAGAGAGCAGAATCCCAATTCCTAGCCTTTCTTCATCCCATTTACTTAACTAGGTAATTTTAAACCAGTGGTCTCCAATCCAAATCTTTAAGGGCTGGTGTGTGCAATGTTTAGATATGTCCATTGCTCTACACAGCTGAATCAAATGGCTAGATTGTCAACAATGCAGAGCTCTGCGTTTGTTGAAGCAGATTTGCATCTAAAAATGGCAGGGCACTTCTTTGCCTCATTTCTTCTGTCCCTCAATCTTTGCATTATCATCACTAATTGTTTTATCTCACCTCGTCCCTTCTGACATTTCTTCCTATTCATCTTTTTCTCCAGTCTTTTATATTCTTTCCTGCTTGCTTTCTTTACTTATCATTAGATTTCCTTCCCCTCTGTCTTTTCCTGTTTTGGTCCTTTCCAAAGCCCTCGTCTCTATTCCTCATTCTGTCTCTCCCAATTTATTCTTTCTTTTATATTCTTGCATCTTCATTCCTTCCTTTCCTACTTTAAATGCAGTCTTCTGTTGTGTCCCTGTTTTCTTTCTTTGTTCAGTTCCTTAGTTACATTTCCGTTCACGTTTAACATTTAAGCCTTTACCACTGTATTGAAGTTTTATATTTTACAAAGAATGATGATTGTAGAGTCTTTATGGAATTTTCTCTCTAAAATGATAGGAATCCTGTGATAAGGGACTGTTTGACAAGTTGAGATCAAAATGGGTTTACCTGAAGTAATAAATAGATATACTGTGTCAACAGGTTACCCAACTTATAAAGAGAAAGTGAAGAAGCGTCCAGGGGGTCGCCCAGAGGTGATATACAACTATGTTCAGAGGCCCTTCATCCGCATGTCCTGGGAAAAGGAAGAGGGTAAAAGCCGACATGTAGACTTTCAGTGTGTAAAGTCCAAGTCCATTACCAACCTGGCAGCAGCAGCTGCAGATATTCCCCAAGACCAGCTGGTTGTGATGCACCCTGGCCCACAAGTGGATGAACTGGACATCCTACCCAATCACCCACCCAGTGGGAATCACTACAGCAACAACTACAGCAACGAGCCTGATCCTGATGCACCTTCACCTGCTGTCTGAGGATTGTGATCCTCTCTCAATGCCTCTGCCCCTCTCTTACTCCTCTAGTCTTTTCCCAGCATGCTGCAGCATGGAGCTCCAGGGGCACCATAACCATATTGCCTTGACACCTCCTTTGCAGCCTTAGAGCCTCAAAGAACCTGGATGATGGTAGAAAAAGAAACACAAGTAAACTGAGACGGGTACAAGAAAGAGTTTACTATGGTTTTCATTTTGTTTGTTTTTTACTTGACCAAAGCAATTTACTTTTTTTTGGAAACCAATCTATAAAAAACACTTAGTATTGATATTATTGTTATTATATTATTTACACTTTTCTTATACAGTACTTCAATTAGGTGAATTTGGCTGAGTACTGTTGTGGTGTCATTGTTTTTTCGGGTTTGTTTTTAGTTTCATTCTTTTTGAGTGGCCTCCTAAATGTGCTTTGAAGGGAAGACCTGTGAAAGGAGAAAAATCAATCCAACTGGCAACGGAAATAATCAGACATAACCATTTAGTGTCATGATCTCCAGCTGAATTCCTCGCCATGGGAAATGTAGTCACTGGCTGGATTTGATATGTGATGTTACGCTCCTCTCGCAGCAAAGATATTCAGAAGAACACAGGCAGTTTTGGTCAGAATTTGTTTGTGCTGAGCTTGAATTTGCTGTTTAAACTGACTCATGAAATAAAAGTGAAATATAAACATTCTGTATATGTTTAAGCATTAGTACAAAATGGCTTTCTTGTCTAAATATTTATTTCACAGGGCCTACAATATTTCGGATAGATTTTGATACCCTTTTCAATCCAGCTTGGTGATGACTGCAATCCACTAGACCTGAAGTCCTTTCATTCAACCTAATCTTATTCTCCTATACTGGCTCTTCTCAAACTTAGATTTTGCTAACAGAAGAAGGATTTGGGTAGAATGTTGAGATTAATTTGAACTTACATCTGCAAGGAATATGCTAAAATTTGAGGTTAACCATAGCAACACTATAACTGCAGCCCATCTGTGTTTTATTTAACTAACTGACCAATGGTGCATGTAATCAGGTAATCTAGCACAGAAATCCCCAATTTATGAAGCTATTTATCTCTCCATCTACTCCCTAATTCTAAAGTTGTTGGGATGTAAACAAGTTGAGAATTGTTGGTATGTATGGGGCCACTATCTTGTCAACACATCCTTTCAAATACCTTTTTCTCTTTAGCATAAAGTAACATCGCAATTAATGTTGTGAGCAATTCAAACTTAACCATGACCCCTGGTATGAGACACACAACCCCAGCACCATAGTGAGACAAACCTCACTACATTATGTCTGAACAACCTTTTTACACAATATATTGTGATATAGAAGAAAAAGCTGCTTGATGTTTAATGGACAATTCTGCACTTGTTTTTATTTTTTCTGGCAATAAACTGCTTTTATAGGTAATTACAGGTAATACTGAATTAGCCCAGAGCTGATTGTTGGTTAAATTTAACCTGTTTTTCCATTTGTTTCATTGGTTCTTTCCTATTTTCTCACTGGCCCTTTTAAGAAATGTTCCAAATTTAAAGTAATTGAGAAAGTTTTTACCTGAGTAGAAAATCATCTTCTACACTTCATGTCCAATCCACTTTTCAATAAGGGCAAGATGTGTTCTTTGGATCATTATTTCATAATCAAATATGGTCAGCATAACATTTATGTCTTATCCATGAATAGGAGATTGTTTAAAGAGTGAAGGATTTACTGGTTGATATGGCCATTTAGATTAACGATTTATCTACAGTGAGTCTGCAGCATGCATGTCATGTCTCTGGTCTTTTATATGACTACCTAATGGTAAATACTTTACAATATATATATGAAGGGTAATTTATGTCTATGGAAAACTGATTGATGTGGGTTTTTGGTACTGAATCTATTTTTATACTAAACCTAACTTTAGATTTAATGCAAAAGAACAAACTAAATTCCTTTGATTGAATATCTGAAAAATATCTAAGTTACCAGTTACATTATTAAAGGACTTTGTTGCACGTCTGCATGGTTTTACATTAACCTGGGGTTTCTCTATTAACAGCACGGCTACCTGTTCGTTAAACAAAATCTCCTTTTCTGCCTTCATGAAAAGTTTAAACACTATTTTGGGATTCAGCTTTTATATGAACTCTTGACAGCAAGATAAGAAGGCTTAGCCTAACAATCAGAACCTCTAGCTCTTACTGAACCATTTGCTGGACTGATGTAGGGACATAAGACTGCCTGCTCATTGGCACAGTGGGTAGCACTGCTGCCTTGCAACAAGAAGGTCCGGGTTCAATTTTCTGCATGGAGTTAGCATGTTCTCCATGTGCATGCGTGGATTCTATCCGGGTACTCCGGCTTCCCCCCACAGTCCAAAAACATGACTGTTAGGTTAATTGGTGTGTGTGTGTGTGTGTGTGTGAATGGTATTTTGTCTATGTGTTGCCATGCAATGGACTGGTGAACTGTCCAGGGTGTACCCGCCTCTCACCTGTACAGTCATGATCAAAAGAATTGAGAATGACACAAATATTATATTTTCACATGATTTGCTGCCCTCTGGTTTTCATCTGTGTATGTCAGATGTTGTCATCACATACAGAAATACAATTGCAACCATATTATGAGTAAGAAAAGCTTTTAATGACAGAATTAGTTAATGCAACATGTCAATATTTGCAGTGCTGACCCCTCTACTTTAGGACCTCTGAAATTCTCCCTGGCATGCTCTCAATCAACTTCTGGACCAAATCCTGACTGATGGTCCATTCTTGCACAATCAATGCTTGCATTTTGTCAGAATTCCTAGGTTTTCGTTTGTCCACCCGTCTCTTGATGATTGACCACAGGTTTTCAATGGGATTAAGATCAGGGGAGTTTCCAGGCCATGAACCAAAAATCTCTGTTTTGTTCCCTGAGCCAGTTAGATATCAACTTTGCTTTATGGCAAGGTGCTCCATCATGCTGGAAAGGTAAGACTGTGAGAGAGCCGACTCCCTTGGCTGAGAAGCGACCCCACACATGAATGGTTTCAGGATGCCTTACGGTTGATAAGACTGGTGGGAGCGCTCACCTCGTCTTCTCCAAACAAGCTGTTTTCTAGATGTCCCAAACAATCGGAAAGGGGATTCATCAGAGAAAATGACATTTTTTGAAATGTGTTTTGGGGAATAAAGTTCATTTTCTAGGCAAATATTGACTTTGCAATTAATTGCTGTTAGGCTGATCACTCTTTATAACATTCTATGCAAATTGCCGTTATAAAAAGTGAAGCAGTAGAATTTGTAAATATTACCATTTGAATCATTCTCAAAACTTTTGGCCATGACTATTCAAAATAAAATATAGAAATAAAAATAAGTGCTTTGATGAGAATAGTTCTACATACAGCCATAAGTTATTTTTATCACATGATGGCAGTAAAGAACAACTTATTTTTAACAGAGGTCCACATAAAAGATTCATGTACAGTTGTGAGGTTTGTTGTGTAGTGTCCTAATTATGCTGTGAGGGATCTTTCTTTCTTCAGTGATAAAGACAGTATATATTTAAATGGTGTAAGTTTACCGAAAACATCTATCTACCACACGATAAACAAACTTGTATAATCCATCCATTCATCCATCCATTTTCTTCCGCTTATCCGGGATCGGGTGACGTGGGTAGCAGCTTCAGTAGGGAGGCCCAGACGTCCCTCTCTCCAGTCACTTGGGCCAGTTCCTCCGGGGGAATCCCAAGGCGCTCCCAGGCCAGCCGAGAAACATAGTCCCTCCAGTGTGTCCTGGGTCTCCCCATGGGCCTCCTCCTTTTTCACTTTACAATGTTTGTTACTCATCATTATAATAAAGCTTTTCTGCAAAAATTGTCATGTCATAGAAACAATTTTTAGTGCTGAAAGTATGTTATTAAGAGTTAAATACACAGTTTAGTCAGAGTTACAGTGGCAGACAAGGGTCAGCAAGCTCACAAAGTAACCAGATGTGACATTGTCATAGTGTTAAATTGCATAGGCTTAACTTTGTTTCTTAATCACATCTAGGTCATTTTTGTCTTTATTTTACTGTAATTACTTGAAAAGTTAGAAGATCAGCTAAGATTCATCCAAATGATCTGAGAAAACGTTTCAGCTATTAGTGCTGCGGAGGATTTTAGTTCGGCATCAGCTTTGAAATTGATACCAAAGCACATAAAATGAAGCCTTTCAAACTGTTAAGAACTGGCTGGGAACAGACGCTGGTAACTTCTAATTTAATACAACTCAGCTACAGAAATGTGAACACGGAACATTCAACTTTGCTTGGCTCCAACCATCTGCTTTTTCGCAGGATTAGATATCGATATGGCACATCAGGACATGCACAATTCAATTACAGACACTGTGGGTGGTTTGATGGGGGGAGTTGAACCAACAAGAAAAGTCTCATATGGGTTACATCCATTATGGTCTCTGTATTTTTTCCATATTTTTTAAATCTCAGTCATTCACTTTTATCACTATTCAGACATTTTGAAAGCTTTCAAAGCGTCAAAGTTCAACACTGTTAAACCTGAACCATCATCCATTCATTGCCTACATGCTTGCCAGGTGCCTATCTCCAGCAGATATTGAGTGAGAAGTGAGGCACGCCCTGGACAGGTAGCCATTTCATCACAACTTAAGACAGAAGCAAGACATATAGAATACACAAATTCATTTACTTGGGAAATTCAGAATAAACAATTAACCCAGCTGTGAAATTATGTTAGACAAAACAACAAAACAAACAGCCACGTTATTATGGCATCAGTTAGAGTTTAATGCTATCTTATGCTCCAATGATGAGAAGATCTTAGCACTTGAGCAAGAAAATGCCTTATTAAGAGAAGAAGTGATGAAGCTGACTCAGATAAAAGAAAAGCAGCAAACTGATGATTAACATGAGGTCGCTGCTCTGTATGATGAGTGGATTAAGATAGACAAAGACCGGCAAGGTGCCTTCAGAAAGGCTTACCAGATGAAAGCATCTCTGATCACAGAGATGAACAAAAGAAAGGAAACAGATCTGTTTGGACAAGCAGATGGAAGAAACCTTTAGATTACAAGCTACTCTGGTCAGGATGGAGAGAGATTTGAAGGACCAAAAACAGCAGTTGGAGCAGGAAAAAAAACGTCTCCTGACCAGTAAGCAAGATCCGGTTGAGGTGGAAAAACTGAAATGTCACAGAAGGTTATGCATGAAGACAAGATTGCTGCCCTGTATCATGAGCTGATCAAGAAAACAAGGACTATCAAGATGCCATCAAACGGGCTGAACAACTGGAACAAAACCTGACTAAAGAGAAAACCCTGGCAAAGGAGTCAGGGGATCGCTTAGCGCAGCAAAATGAGGTGCTCTGGCCCAAATGGAGAGAGATTTGGAGGACAAGCGCCTGCAATGGGAGCAGGAAAAAACGCACCTTATGGCCAACCAACAAGAAAGAGATGAGGTGGAGCATCTAAAAAATCATTTAGAGCTACAGAGATCTAAATCTGAACAGGAGAACGCTGCTCTGCATTTGAAGCAGAAGAGAACCAACACCTTCAAGATGCTGCAGGAAAAATGATTGGACATGGTTCTGGTTGCTGACAAGACCAGAACAAAAGAGACTGAGACCTGCTTAGCAGAGCAAGTGCAGGAAACCAATTAAATAAAGGCTTTTTTGATCAAAGTTAGCAAGACCTGGACAACGA